TCTTTGATGACCTAGCCTTGGACATGCCAACGTTTTTGCACTATCCTTTTGGGTACACAGCTCAGCCCTCCTCAGTGTGGGAGCAGCTACACCACAGTGTGAATCCCAGAAGGGGAGGTGGTCACTGGGGGTCATCTTGGAGGCTGGCTACCAAGGTGTGAATCCATTGCAGAATTTTGAGCACGATGATGATGATGATGATAATGATGATATAGATGAGACACAAATAGATAGATAGAGATGTACATGTGTGTGTATGTGTGCATATGCATAGGTATATAGATAGATAGATATGTATATAAATTACCGTATAGCATGTAATACTTATATTTTATTCTATTATTATATACATTTTGTTATTACACAAATAACATATGAAAACAGACAACTCCCGCTTAACCATTTATTTTTTTTAAACAGTTTTTATTATTTATTTATTTATTTATTTATTTTTTGTGAGGAAGGTCAGCCCTGAGCTAACATCCATGCTAATCCTCCTCTTTTTTCTGAGGAAGACCGGCTCTGACTGACATCTATTGCCAATCCTCCTCCTTTTTTTTTCCCCCCAAAGCCTCAGTAGATAGTTGTATGTCATAGTTGCACATCCTTCTAGTTGCTGTATGTGGGACGCGTCCTCAGCATGGCCAGAGAAGCCGTGAGTCGGTGCGCGCCCGGGATCCGGGCCCAGGCCGCCAGTAGCGGAGCGTGGGCACTTAACCGCTAAGCCACGGGGCCGGCCCCAACCATTTATTTTTTTTCAAGCTTTGTTGAGGTACAATTGACAAAAAAATTATATGTGTTTAAGGAGTACAACACGATGGTTTGAATGTGTATATATTGTGAAATGATTACCACTATCAAGCTAGTTAACACATCCATCCCCTCACATAGTTACCCTTTTTGTGTGTGTGTGTGTGTGGTAGGAACACTTATGATCTATTCTCTTAGCAAATTTCAAATATACAATATATTATTTTTAACTATAATCACCATGCTCAACATTACACCCCCAGTACTTATTTATCTTATAACTGGAAGTTTGTGCCCTTTAACCAATGTCTCCCTATTTCCCCACCCTCCAGCCCCTGGTAACCACCACTCTACTCCTCAGTTTCTATGAGTTTGACTTTTTTTTGGATTCCACATACATGTGAGATCGTGCAGTATTTGTCGTTCTCTGTCTGATTTATCTCACTTAGCATATTGTCCTCCAGGTTCATCCATGTTGTTGCAAATGGCAGGATTTCCTCCTTCCTCATGCCTGAGTAATATTCCATCATATATACATGTGTGTGTATATATACACCAAATTTTTTTTACACATTCATCTGTTGGTGGACACTTAGGTTGTTTCCATGTCTTGGCTATTGTGATTAATGCTGCAGTAGACATGGGAGTGCCACTATCTCTTTGTGATAGTGATTTCATTTCCTTTGGATATATATCCAGAAGTGAGATTGCTGGATCATATGATAATTCTATTTCTAATTTTTTGAGGAAACTCCATACCATTTTCCATAGTGGCTGCACCAATTTACATTCCCACCAACAGTGCACGTATTCCCCTTTCTCCACATCCTCTCCTCAATAATTTAATTTATATATACGTGTAAATAGATATCCCTTTCCCCTCAAAATATGATCATCCTGAATTTACTGTTTTTTTCTTTTCTTTTCTTTTCTTTTTTGGTGAGGAAGATTGGCCCTGAGCTAACATCTGTTGCCAGTCTTCCTCTTTTTTGCTTGAGGAAGACTGTCCCTGAGCTAACATCTGTGTCAATCTTCCTCTATTCTGTACGTGGGACGCCACCACAGCATGGCTTCAAGAGCAGTGTATACGTCCGCGCCCGGGACCCAGACCCGCAAGCACCGGGCTGCCAAAGCAGAACACGTGAACCCACCACTACGCCATCGGGCCAGCCCCCTGAATTTACTGTTTTATAACAAGTTTCTCCCCTTGATCATAAGCCATGCACCACCTTGGGAGTTAGCAAGCCCACAATGTCCCTCCAGTGTGTGAACATATGGTCTGAAGAAGCCACCTTCAAAGGCATCTTCCAAGGCATGCTTCTCAAACATTCTGGAGCATTCCAATCACCAGTCTGGGTAATTCTGATTAGGAGGTCTGGGCTGCAGCTGGAAATTCTGCATTCCTACCAAGCGTCCACGTGATCCTGCTTGATGCTGCTGGTCCACAGGCCACACTTTGGGTAGCAACGTTCTAAAATGACTGATTATTAAATACTCAACCAGGCTCTTCGGAGGCTGAACCTTGGAATCTATATTTTCACTACATTCCCGAGGTGATTCTTCATTTTTTTTCTCTCTCTTTTTTTTGTTAGTGGTAAAATACACATAATGTCAAATTGACAATTTTAACCATTTTAAAGTGTACAATTCAATGGCATTAGGTACATGCACCATGTTTTGCAACCATCACTACTCTCTAGTTTCAGAACTTCTTCATCCAAAAAGGAAACCCCACATCCATTGTCAGTCACTTCCCAACCCCCCAGCCCCCAGCCCCTGACAATCACAAACCTGCTTTCTGTCTCTCTGGATTTACCTATTCTGGACATTTCATAGAAACGGAATCATTCCATATGTGCCTTTTGTGTGTCTGGCTCCTCTTACCTACCATGATGTTTTCAAGGTTCATCCATGTTGTAGCATGTATCCGTGCCTCATTCCTTTTCCGGGGTGCCTCTTATGCCATCTGAAGGTTGAGAACCAGCTGGATCCAATCTCTGCAATGTGGTCCAGAGGTTGAGAGTACCAACTCTGGATCTGATGACCAGTTACATCCCCTCTGTAAGCCTCACTTAGCTCATCTATAAAATGGGGGTAATAACAGCCCCTCCCTCACTGGGCTATTTGCAAAGTGACCGGCGTGTGCTAAGAGCCCAGTAACCGTTAGGTATCGCTGTTATTCCAGCTGGTGGATGTGCTGTAATCGGTCCAACCAATCTCCTATTGTTGGACATTAAGGCTTTTCCTATTTTTTAAACAATGCTGAGACAAACATCTTTATGTATAAATATTTAACACTTGTTCAGTTATTTCCTCAGAATAAAACCCTGGAAGTGAAATTGGTGGGTCAAAATTTTATTCGTATTCTGAAATATTTCTGACATGTAGAAAAAGAACAGATAATGAATATAGTGAATTCATGGTTTCCACCTCCGGGCTTGAAAAAAAAATTACCAATAACAATGTCCTACATAACCTTCCTGATTGCATTCTTTCCAGCGCATCCCCAGGGGTCACCACTAGGGCTCCCCCTCCCTCTGTCATGCCTGTGCATGTTTGTAGACATTTACAACATCCACACACAACCCTGTTTTACGTGTTTTAAAACTTCCTGCATTTGACGATGTAGACTTCTGCAAATAGCAACACGACGCTTTGGGGTTGTTGGGGTTGATATATGGAGCACCGGTTCACCCTCTTTCACTGCTGTATGGTGTTCCTCTGTATGAATATGCCATGATCCATTTATCCATTCTCCGTGTAATGGACATGTAAGTCGTTTCCAGTTTTTCACCGTTACAAACACTACTGTCGAGCTTTCTTGTGCTTATCTTTTTGTTCACATTTGCGTGAGTTTCTCTAGGGTGTACTGGCGAGTAGAAGGGCCGTACTTTTAAGATTCAGATACTGATAGGACTTTTCGGAGAGCTAAGGTTTTTATAGAGTCCTTTCTGCTTGCTGACTTCCTTTCTTTGGGTGAGGCTGTTTCTCTCCTTTGGAGCTGTGGCCATTCTTATCCAGGGGGAAGGGTCTCTCAGGGCTGGAGGTAGTCCTAGTGGGGAAGGAACAGTATGAACAGAGGGTGGGAGACTGGAATCACGGATGGAAGACACCTCGGAGGGTGTTAAGGAAGACCCCTCAGAGAGGGACAAGTGTGGTTCTTGTTTTATAGATGCCCAGAGACGGCAAGCCACTTCTTCAACGCCACAGAGCGACGCAGAAACCATGAGCTTCATTCATTCATTCATTCATTCATTCATAACATATTAACGATGCACCTACTCCGTGCCACGCATTGTTCCAAGCGTACAGGATATATAGCACTCAGCAAAACAAAGACCGCCTGCTCCAAGTGCGGAGCTTATTATTCTGGGCGTAATTATGATGAATGGCTAATTATGTTTGCCTGTAGGATTGGAGGGGAGGGTGATCCCAATTGGGGGGGTGTCCCATGGGAGCGCCCCATAAGTCAGGGCTCTCTCCAAAGCCCCCACTTCTCAGTCTCCCTGTTTCCAACCCCTTCCCCCACAGAATGTTATTGTGGGTACTCCCAAAATTAAAGGGGTACTTGGGGAAAGAGAAGGTGGTCTGGGAGGGAGGGAGAGAGACAGCCCTTTGTATCCGGGGAGAGTTGTCAATAAAGTTTGGTCGCCGTGGCAACCGCAGGGCTCGCGGGGCGGGGAGGGGCTGGGCGAAGGTGCGCGCGCATTTACCACCCCCCACCGCCCCTCCGGCCTGCTCCTGCTGTCTCCCTGCTGCGGCTGAAGGTTTCACCAGAGAAAGAGAATAGAGAGGTCGCGACTCTAGGGTGACCGGCTCAGACCTTAGCCAATGGAAGGATGAGCCGTTCCAAGGCCAGCCAATCACATACGGGTTCTGGAGCCGGTGGAGCCCGCCCTCTTTCCGCTTGGACCCGAGTAACCTGACCCAAACCCAAGTTTCGCGTGGAGCGACGGCGCTTTCGGCCAATGAGGGCGTCGACTTCGGGCAGTGGGCGGGGATAGTCTCCATGGCAGCGGCGGAGGGACAGCGGTGGGAGCCATTGGCAGCAGTTGGCGGCACTTGACGGCAGCGCGGGCGTGGCGGGGTTTTGTGGGGGCACTGACGGGGGTCGGGCGGGGAGGGGCAGAGTGGGGCTCGACCAATGGGAGCGGAGCGAGCTGAGGAGTGGCGGCGGCCTTGGCCAATGGGAGGCTGCGGTCGCCGTGGCGGGGCGGGCCCGGCGGGGCAGACGGGAGGCGCGGCGACGGTGTCTGACGCGAGCCGGAGGAGGCAGTGGGAGGTGGTGGCGGCGGCGGCGCGGGCGCCTGAGGAGGAGGTGGAGGAGGAGGAGAAGCGGGTGAGGGGCGGCGCGGGGCCCGACCTCTGAGCACCCTCTCGGCCCCCGCCCCGCGCCGCCTTGGCTCCTGGTCGCCCCCAGCCCCGACTGCCCCCCGCCCCACCCTGCCCCTCCTCGTGTCCAGGCGCCTAAGTCTTCTGGCTCTTCGCGAGCCTCAGGCTCTCTCGGCGCTCAGCCCCTTCCCTGTGCTTCCTCACCCAGGCCTCTCGCCGCTCCCCGGCCTTCCTCAGCTCGCCCTCTGACTCTCCCCTCCCCTCCCCGGACCTCATTGCCTGCCCAGGCCCCTGTGCGCTTCCCCCACTCCTCTCCCTGGACCCTCACTGCCCGCCCAGGCCCCTGTCCGCTTCCCCCAATGCCCTCCAGACTTCAGGCCCTTCCCCTGCACCCTCACTGCCCGCCCAGGCCGCTGTCCGCTTCCCCCACTGCCCCCCGGACCTCAGGCCCTTCTCCTGCACCGTCACTGCCCGCCCAGGCCCCTTTGCGCTTCCCCCACTCCTCTCCCTGGACCCTCACTGCCCGCCCAGGCCCCTGTCTCCCCCTGCTCCTCTCCCTGGACCCTCACTGCCCACCCAGACCCCTGTCTGCTTCCCCCAGTGCCCTCCGGACCTCAGGCCCTTCCCCTGCACCTTCACTGCCCGCCCAGGCTGCTGTCCGCTTCCCCCACTGCCCCCCGGACCTCAGGCCCTTCCCCTGCACTGTCACTGCCCGCCCAGGCCCCTTTGCGCTTCCCCCACTCCTCTCCCTGGACCCTCACTGCCCACCCAGGCCCCAGTCTGCTTCCCCCACTCCTCTTCCTGGACCCTCATTGCCTACGCAGGCCTCTGTCTACTTCCCTCACTCCCCTTCCTGGACCTCAGGCCCTTCCCCTGGACCCTCACTACCCACCCAGGCCCCTGTCCGCTTCCCCCATTGCCCGCCAGACCTCAGGCCCTTCCCCTGGACCCTCACTGCCCATCCAGGCCCCTGTCCGCTTCCCCCACTGCCCCCCACACCTCAGGCCCTTCCCCTGGACCCTCTCTGCCCACCCAGGCCCCTGTCCACTTCTCCCACTGCCCCCCAGACCTCAGGCCATTCCCTTGGACCCTCACTGCCCACCCAGGCTCCTGTTTGCTTCCCTACTTCCTCCCTGGACCTCAGGTCCTTCCCCTGGACCCACACTACCCACCCAAGCCCCTGTCTCCTTCCCCCACTCCTATTGCTGGACCCTCACTGCCCACCCAGTCCCTCCCTGGACCCCAGACTCTCTCCTCCGGCTTTCCTGTGCTCCTCCCTGGATCCCCAGAACTACTTCTGTCCCTCTCTGCTTCTCCAAGCCCTGTTCTGGATCCCTAGGCCCACTTCCACCTTCTCAGGACCCTCCGTGGACCCCAGGTCTCCCCTCTCGCCTGCCTGGGCTCCCTCCAGGACTCCCAAGCTTTCCTGGAGCCCTGTCTCCCCCAGCGCCTCTGTGGACACCAGGTCTCCCATGGCCTGCCTGGGCTCCCTCCAGGACCCCCAAGCCTTCCTGCAGCCCTCTCTGTCTCCCCGGGCCGGCCCCAGGTCCCTCTGTGAGGTCCCTGTGTTTTGTTTTTACCCACATGGCCCCCTGCAGCTTCCGCTCTGTCCCAGGGCCCTCCCGCAGCGCCCCTCTTTATTTATCCCCAGCCTTCCTGTCTTTTAGACCCCCTTTCTCAGCCACTCTAGCTCCTGACTTCTCTTTAGTCCCCCTTCCTTGCTGTCCTCTGTGGACTCTGTGAAGCACCGTGGTGTGGGTGCCCAGCAGGCCCCCCGCTCTCAGGGTTAGGGGTCTTGTTTTGTTCCGTTTTGCCAATCCCCTTCTTTCTCCTCTTTTTATGGACCTGTTCTGCCTCTCCATACCCTTCTTTTTCTCTCCCCCCTCCCCCGCTTTGTCCTCCAGCCCCCCCTGGCCCCTGGAATCCTTGGAGAGGGAGCAGGTGCCGGGATCCCTCCTCAGCTCTCCCTCCCCTCACCCCCCTCCAGGCTGCCTGGGGCTTCACCCAGAGCCTCCCTAGACTCCCTCCCGAGGGCTGATGGGGGGTGGGGTGGAGGCCGAGGCCGAGCCTGGAGAGAGTAGGGGTGGGCAGAGGAACCGTCAGTCCTGACGGGGCGGGAAGCCTTGGCTTTTTCCTTGGTGAGGGCCAGAGGTGGAGCTGGGTCCCCCCTGACTCCCACCTCTTGCAGCGCTAAGCCTTTAGGGTTATCCGAGACTGCCAATTAATCAGCCTTCCTGGGGCCAGTAGGGATGCGTGTGTGTGGGGGTGTGGTGTAGGGGTGTGAGGGAATCTGCGTGTGTGAGTGTGTGTGCACGTGGGGGGGTCATGTGGTGGGGGATTTGAGGAGATGGAGATACTAATGATGGAGACTAGATTTCTTTGGGGGCTCCCCCGCTGTCAGAAGTACCTGTTGCATGTCGCCTTCACTGAGAGCCCGTGAAGTCAGCATTGCTATTCTCCCTGACGTGTAGATGAGGAGACGGAAGGGCTTGCCAGAGTCCCGCACAGCTTATAAGTGGCCCGGAGCAAGCGCCCGCCGGGGGTGCCGCCCCTGCCCCTGCTTTGCCCCCTCCACTCGGCCAGAGGCAGCATGGTCCATGGGGCAGCATGGGGCCCGACAGAGTGACAGCCAGAGAACTGTGTGAGAATGACGACCTGGCCACCAGCCTCGTCCTGGACCCCTACCTCGGCTTCCGCACCCACAAGATGAACGTCAGGTGAGGCGGCCTGGGGAGAGGGCTGGGGGATCCCTTGCTTCCACCGCCACCCCTCAGCCCCGTCCTCCCCTCAGCTCCTAGTGGGGGTGGGGGCGGGGCCCGGGAGGGCCCGAGGGAATAGGCCAAGGTCCCGGGACCCAGGCATGCCCTCTCCCCCAGCCCCGTGCCCCCCCTGCGGCGACAGCACCACCTGCGCTCGGCGCTGGAGGCCTTCCTGAGGCAGCGGGACCTGGAGGCTGCGTACCGGGCCCTGACGCTGGGAGGCTGGATGGCCCACTACTTCCAGAGCCGGGGCCCACGGCAGGAGGCTGCCCTCAAGACCCACGTGAGGGCGCCCTTCCTTCCCCGCCCTCGCCCGCGTGTTCTCCTGTCACCTCAGCCTGTCCCAGGTCCTTCTCCCTGTGGGGCAGACTCTCCGGAGCCCTGGGCTCCGTGCCCCTCAGCACAGCCCCCTGGGACTCCCTGACTTCCTAGCCGTTGGGACCATCTGAGGCGAGGCTCAGAGAATCCTGGGAGAGGAGAGTTGGGGGCCCTCTGAGATGGAGTCCAGCCTCTTCACTTGACAGATGATGAAGCTGAGGCCCAGAGGGGAAGTGAGTTCCTTGAGACCACACAGCGAGTCAGTGGCAGAGCAGGACTAGCACCCAGGAGAGAGGGCGGAGGACGACCCTGCCCCACCTCCTTACCCCACCCACCGCTCACCTCCCCCAGATCTATCGCTACCTCCGCGCCTTCCTGCCTGAAAGCGGCTTTACCATCCTGCCCTGTACCCGCTATTCCATGGAGACAAACGGGGCCAAGATTGTGTCTACCCGAGCTTGGTAAGAGGGCAGAACTCGCAGCCAAGGGCCCCACGCCTGATGGGAGGCACCCCTCCCCAGGGGCTGCTGGCAGAGGAGACCCCTGTCCCTTCTGGAGGAGATGGGGGCGTCACTGAGGGGACAAGGAGGAAACCTCTGGTGGCGTCAAGGCCACGAAGATGCCAGAGTTCAGGAGGTTTCCTGCAGAGAGGAAGGAGTCGAGGCCTGGTTCTGAAGACCCTCCTCACCCACTGTAGCCCTGCTAGGGGATGCGACCCTAGAGTTCCCGGGGCTGCCGGGAAGGACTGACCTTGTGCCCACGACCGTGCAGGCCTGTCTTCATCCCGACTGAGCCCCTGCCAGTCTGGGTGCTGCTGGGTGCGGGACAGGGCAGAGAGCAAGATGGCCCTGCCAGCCACTCAGTGTAGCAGGAGGGCAGGGGATAGCCGAGTAAACACGCAGGTACTGACCGCAGCTGCTCAGGGCTTCAGGAGCTGGCTGGGGAACTTTGCGAGTGTTCTCGGGAGCCAGACCTCAGCTGGGATCCGAAGGATGAGCTGGGGGGTCTGGTGAGGTGAGGGGATGAGGACGGGGCTGCAGGAGGCGCAAGGCAGCGGGGAGTTGGGGCTGGAGGAGCTGAGGGCCTGCTGCCGTGGCTGGAGTGGGTCAGTCCCCCGGGCAGGTGTACAGGCCGTGGTGAGTGGATTTGCGAGACTTCGGAGGCGGACGGCGATGGCCTGCGGGAGTCCCAGGTGCCTCCTAGATGAGAAGCATCTGTCCCTGGCTAGGGTGGTTGGGAAGGTGCTGCTTCTAGAGCTGTGGCCTGGCCTCTTGGCAGGAAGAAGAATGAGAAGCTGGAGCTGCTGGTGGGCTGCATCGCGGAGCTGCGGGAGGCCGACGAGGGGCTGCTGAGGGCCGGCGAGAACGACTTCAGCATCATGTACTCGACCCGCAAGCGCAGCGCCCAGCTGTGGCTTGGCCCTGCCGCCTTCATCAACCACGGTGGGGGCCGTGGCGGGGGCAGGGCCGGCGGGGAGGGGGGCACCCCGCCCTCTCCCTCTCCCTCCACTCACCCAGTCTCTTCTCTCCCTGGCCCCGGCTGGCTCCAGACTGCAAACCCAACTGCAAGGTGAGACCTGGGGACCCCCAGGAGTGGGCACGTGGGAGATGAGGTGGCCCGGGGGAGGGGCCTTCTGGTCAGTGAATAGCAGGAAACTGTCCTGCGTCTCCCCACCTGACAAAGCACTCACTCACCCTGGCTGCCTGTTTGCTGAAGCAGGTGTTTGTGCCTGTGGCCCTTGGAGAGGGGAGGGAGGAAAGGGCTCTGGCTAGAGGCACACTGGAACCCGGGTGGCCACCTGGTGGCAGCGTTCTTCCCTCTCTGAATCTGAGCTGGGGGCTGGGCCCATTTGAGTGGGGCGTGTGGTGATGGGAAGACAGAAAGAGCCCACTGCCGGCAGCTGTGATAGCAGGAGGCAGAGCATTTGAGTGGCAGGAACCTGCCCATGCATGCCACCTGGGCTGAGCCCAGAGAGAGCCCTGGAGGCCGGCTTCCAGGCAGAGGGAGCAAGGCGGAGGAGAGGCCAGGTGCACTGCTGGTCCTGTGTGGAGGAGCAGGGAGCGCGTGGGAGCCAAGGAATGGAGGGGAGGTAGCCCCGGAAGGCCTTGGGTGCACACCCTGCCAAGCGTGGGCCTCGTCCAGCTGTTTTTGGGAGCCCTGAGGTGTGACAAGGGGGTCCGGAGCTCAGACCCTGGAGTTAGAACTGGGTTTAGGTCCTGGCTCTGCCGCCCTTGGCCCTGGTTTCTCGTCTCAGATGGGAAGCGGTGAGGACTTGCCTCCCGGGACAGCTTGAAGGTTAGGTGCACAGTGCACACCGGCGTTGGTCAGCATTCCTGGGACTCTGCAGAGCTGTTACGTGGATTTCGGGGGATAAGGTGTGGCCCTGGCCTGGCCCCGCGTGCAGACACTGGGTGAGACAGGAAACCAGGCAGGGCTCCGTGAGAGGCTGTGACCAGGCGTGTGCTGGTCGCCTTGGGGCACAGGAGCCAGTTGTCTAGCGGGGCAGCCCTGGGAGGCGGCATAGGAGTGACGCCATAGGCAGGCGTGGAAGGAGGAGTAGGATTTTCCTAGGTGTTGCAGGAAAATGGGGGCACAGCAGGACATCCCAGACAGGGCACATGGCGCTGGAGGGCCAGGAGGCGGGACAGGCACCGCGACTCCTGTCTCCTGTGACTCCCGCCTTGGGTGCCGTGAGTGAGCTTGCGTCTGTCCCACGGAAGTTTCCACCGGGTGAATAATGGGGGCTTGGTTTTTAGATGGCTCTGGCAGCTGGTGCGGAGGAGGCTGGCAGGAGGGAGCGGGACTGGAGGCAGGGCGGCCACGAAGAGGCTGGTTTATAACCTAGTGTGTAACGAGCGAGAGGTGACAAGGGGCTGGCTCCAGAAAGGGTCTTGGGGACAGAGGACAAAGACGTAAGACACTGCATGCTTGAGAGCTGCTGCCCTGTTGGCCTGGGGTCAGGCGGGTGGGGGGCAAGGCCCACTCCCAGGCGCGTGTCAGGCTAGAGTGGACAGCCAGATGGATGGAGGTCATGCCCCTCCCAGGCGGGGAACGCTGCTGGAGCAGGCGGGTGTGAGGGGCCCGTGGGGCAGTGATCCCGGACTGGGGCTGCGGAGTGGACATGGGCCTCCAGGAAGGGGGGTGGCCCGAGGGTAGCAGGGAGTGGGGGAGTGGGTTAGGATGTGTCAGAGGGGGTGGAACTTGGCCGAAGAAGCTGGAGGGAGAGTGCAGGAGGGAGCGGTCACTGTGCACTGCCAGGGTTGGCTTAGGTCACCGTCCTGCAGGGAGGGGTGGGAATCAGCCAGTGGGCGGGTGGTCGGGGGGGTGCTGTTCAGAGGATAGGAGGCTGCCTCCAAATGGCTCTCCCCGGGAGCGGGGTGGGGGCCCCCCAGGACAGGCTCTGAGCAGCCCAGCCTCCAGTTTGTGCCCGCAGATGGGAACGCGGCCTGCGTGAAGGTGCTCCGGGACATCGAGCCGGGCGACGAAGTGACCTGCTTCTACGGCGATGGCTTCTTCGGTGAAAAGAACGAGCACTGTGAATGCTACACCTGCGAGAGGTGTGGGCGGGAGAGGGAGGTGGAGTCTGCCGCCGGAACCGGAAATGCCTCCTGGGCCCATTCCTTCTTTCCTCCTGTCTCCCGCCCACCCCAGGAAAGGCGAAGGGGCTTTCCGACTGCGGCCCCGGGAGCCCGCGCCTCCGCGGCCCCTGGACAAGTATGAGCTCCGGGAGACCAGGCGGCGGCTGCAGCAAGGCCTGGACGGCAGTGTCCGGCAGGGCCTGCTGGGGCCGCGGGCCTGCGCCCACCTCTCCCCGCTGCGCCGGGACCCGTTCTGCGGTGAGCGTGGGGACCCAGTGCTGTCAGCTGCTCCCCCGTCCCTAGCCCCTTCTCTGCCCTCCCCCCTCGGACCCCCTGACAGGGTCTCAATTTTGGCCACCACTCTGCACCAGTCGCCTTTGAAGAGCGCGGGGCCGAGCAGGAGCTGTCCCCGTTCCAGAGGCCCTGCTGATGCGGCCCCCTTGCTCCTCCACAGCTGCCTGTCAGCCGCTGCGCTCCCTACCCCGTGGCGCCCGCCCTGATGCCGTGCCCCTCTGGCTCCAGTGGCTGCCTCAGCCCCAGCCCCGGGTGCGACCCCGAAGGCGCCGCCGCCCCCAGCCGCGGCGGCCCTCTGTGCCCCCCGTTCTCCGCGCTGCTCGCGTTTCCCTGCACCGGTGGGGAGGCTGCGGCCCCCGCTGTTGCCTCCGGGCGGAAGCCCTGGTGGCCCTGGGCCCGGCCCCTCGCGCCCGCTGGGCCCCCCAGCAGGACTGGCACTGGGCCCGGCGCTATGGGCTGCCTTATGTGGTGCGCGTGGACCTGAGCCGCGTGGTCCCGGCCCCACCTGCTGCTGCTGCCCCCGCCCCTGCACGGACCCCAGGCCCTGTCCCGGTCCCCAAGCAGGCCCTCACCTTTGCGCCCTTCTCCCCACCCAAGCGCCTGCGGCTGGTGGTCAGCCACGGCTCCATCAACCTGGATGTCCGTGGTGACAGGCTGTGATGGGCTGGACAGGGAGGTCTGGGCTGGGAGAGGCAGGGGTCCCTCCTAGTCCCTACCAGCCCTGAGTTCTTGGGGACTCATCTCCAGAAGGAGCTCTTGGGCGTCTGGGAGGGAGCTGACCCATGACCCCAGCACAGTTCTGATCTGGGGACAGGGTTGGTTTGGACACTCCCAGGGGTCTGACCCCTGACCCTTTGTGACTGCTGACCCCTGAGCCGTCCCCACCCTGGCAGGGAGCCCTGGCCATTGCTGCCCTCCCGCCCTAGCCCCAGCCTCCGGACTGAAGGAGCCGCTCCCCTCCCCACCCGTCTTCTCCTGCCCTGGGAGCAAAGCCATAAGGGGTGGGGGCCTCCCCATGGCGTCTCCCCAGAAGCCCTGGCCTCGGGAGGAGGGAGACCTGGTGGGGTGGCGCTCCCTAGGGACTGCCTCTCGGAGGGGAGTGAGTCTGCTGTCAGCTCTGCAGCTGTCTGAGGCAGGGACGGGGTGGGGGTGTCCGGGGCGTGTCCTCACACGCCTGTGGATCTCAGGGAGGCCGGGTGTGACCTCATCTTTCTCATGGTGCTATCCCTGGTGCTACTGGGGTGGGGGCCTCCCCTCCCCACACCAGAACAGGGGATGTTGGGGGATTGGAAGCACTTGAACTTTTTATTTTATTTTATTAAAATGTTGTTATAAGCAGCACTCTTAGAAGCTTTTCAGTTTGATTTACGTTTTGAAGGGCTGTCAGAAAGGTGAGACCCTCAGCCTTGTGGTGGAGACCAGACCCAGGGGAGGCGGCCCAGGCTTTGGGCCCTGAGAGCCTTGGGAGGGTGAAGGGGCACTAGACAGCACAGCGGGGTACGAAGGCAAGAGTCACGTCACCAAGCACACGATGCTTATAAAGAGTGCGTTCTGACCCATCCTGTTGCGTGGGAGGGGATTCTCCCCCGTTTTCAGATGAGGTAACAAGTCCAGCAAGCAGAGTGACTTGCCTGATGTCACACGAGGTCACACGAAGCTCGATGGCCCTTCTCTGATGTCAGACATCCCTCCCACAGCTCAACCAGGAGGGGAGAGGTGGGCAGAATGGCGCCTGGAAGGCATGGGGGCTGCCCAGGCTGCAGGGTGTGGGGGCACGTGGCTTTCTGGCACCAGGCTGGCAAGCCGTCCTCGTCTGTGTCATGTTGGTGGCCTGGCTCTGTGAGACCAACGTAATGAATCTTCTCTAGTTTCTTCAGGTCTGGTTCAGTGTCTTGATCTTGCCATTGCCTCGTACTTCTCGCCTCAACCCCAAAGCCCCCAGTTTACAGAAGGAAATACTAATAGCTAACAGAGTGCTTCCTGGTACCAGGCACCCCACAAGCATCTTGCAGACAATTTTTCTGGTTCATGGAGGCCTCCAGGCCCTTTCACACAAACTTCTGAGGCTCGGGTGCAGGCTCCAGGCCCCTGGTTGTCTCCTCCGTGTTGGCTGGCTTCGGGAAAGGTTATCCTGGGGGTTGACGAGGCCTGTGCAGGAGAGACCCGAGGAGAGGGCATGAACAGGCAGGGAGAGGCGGCAGGAAGGCCGGGTGGGCTGAAGGGATGGCCCAGGAAGGGGCACTTCCACAGTGGGCCTGGGGCTGGGCACCATTCAGGACAGGTAAGGTTTTTGCTTCAGAATTTGTTTCGTTCAATTGTAGCCTGTTTCATTCCTTTCCACGATGAGAAAATGTGACTGGCTGCCATGCAAACCCTCCTGAACCCTGTAGGTTCCCACCCTTATGTTGAAAATAAGGAGAGCAGGGCCCCCAGGTCAGCGATCGGCGAGAGGAGGATGGGGAGAGATGGTGACATGCAGTCAGGAAAGAACTTGTCCCTCTACACAGGCTGAGAGTCAGGTGCCATCACCATGGCTTCTAGGCAAAGGTGACAGCGGAGCAGGGATTCTTAGCCTGGATGGACACTGGGGGTCCCAAGAACTTCCTGAAACCCTATTTTAAATGTCATAACTGCACATTCACATGCATGTTCTGCGGAGAGAGGATTTAGAGCCTTTCTCTGATTCTCAAAAGTGTCTGGATCCCGAAAAACAGATTTGAAACTGGCGATTACGGTATCACCCTCGGCCTCACTGCCATCTGAGCCAGCTGACTGTGTTGTGGGATGAACAGCAGCCTCCCTGGCCTCCGCCTACTAGATGCCAGTAGTGCCACCTCAGTTGTGACAAAAATGGACATTCCCAAGTGTCCCCCCAGGGGCCAGAGCCAGCCCCCAGTTGAGAAGCGCTGGGCCAGGGTGGCAGGGAGGGCAGACTCCAGGACAGTGGTGTGAGCTGACGCCAACCGCACGTCCTGTGCACGCTGGCGTCCGTCTTCATGACCGCGCCACCGGGAGCCCCACTTTACAAACAGCCCGGTAAGGGAGGTGTGGCTGCCTGAGGTCTCACAGCTGGGGCCGGGGCAGAACCCCCCTGCTGCCGGGTTTCTGCCTCCACCACTGGGTAGATGGAGCCCCGAGACGATACGGAGGTGCGAGGAGAAGGTGTTGAGTCCAGTGAGCTGACAGGACCTGGGGACGTGGGGCGTCTTGGCATCGTGAGCTCGCCTTTGTGGCTCAAGCCAAGGGGAGGGGTGTGTCCGAAGGTCAGCAGGGCCTGAGAACCCCGTTGTACACGTGGGGGCCAGAACAAGGGCATGGGGACCGTGGCTGGGAGGCAAAGGAGAGAGGGAGCTGAAGGAACCTGCTTGGGGCCTGAGCCTCAGGGAGCCGGTGCTCCCGCACCTTCCCCACAGCCGGCTCAGTTCCTCTTGGTGGCTGGGACAGCCGTGGAGCCCGGAGTGCCGTCCGGGACCTGGACCCCATTTCTCCCCTGGGGGGCGCTCCCTGACCCTTTTACACTGCGCACAGATTCAGCCAGCCGCCTCCAGGACCCTGTGACAGGGTTGGTTATCCTGGGACTGCTGATCCAGGAGGGGAGCCGGCCATTGGTCACTCCCACTGTCCAGTGCGGTATTAGGCACCAGAATTGGGCAACACGCTGATTCTGAGGGCCTCAAATTGTTTATATAGACAGAGACCCCACGTGTCTAGCTGGGCTAAACAACATTCAGCTTGTGACTCAGGCGTCATCCTCCCCACAGCCCTGTGAAGTGTAACTATCACTCTCACCATATTTTAGATGAAAAGACCACGGTGTGGAGGGCTCAGGGAATTTGTCTGGGGCTGCATGGCTGGTAAGGGGCAGGGCCGGGACCCATTCTCAGAGCTCAGCCAGGCTCTGAGACCTTCAGGATGGGAAAGAGGCAGACCCCAGAGAGAGGAGGCTGGCACTGCACCCACTGGGAACCAAGGGACAGCGAGCTGGTCAGCAGTGGCTCCCATGTGGTGGTGGGGGGTGGGGAGGAGAGGGAGAGCAGGGGTCTCCAGGGTTCACGGGGCAAAGGGCGAAGGGCAGTGGAGCAGTTCTGTGATCGAGAAGCCTGTGCCTGTCTGTAGACAGGGAGGAAGGAGCTGGTCCTGAGGCAGGGGCTGCAGAGGAGGGCAAGAGGATAAGAGACGGTTGAGGTGGAGGGCATGGGACTGGAGGAGGAGGAGGAGGGGGAGGAGGCGAGGAGAGCAGGGATGCAGGTTGTGGGGCGGGATGGGGTTAGTTTCCTCTGACCCGGGAGGCTGCCGCGGGACGGACGGTGAGGCTGGCGCCGGGGGTTTTCAGGACGTCGGCAGGCCAAGCTGGCCGAGGAGCCGGAGTTTGGGGCCAGGGGGTTTGCGGTGGTGTTGGTCCAGCCGACTGGAGGTGAGGCAGGTCTGGCCTAGCCCAGGGCTCAGGCATCCAGAGGGCAGTGGTGGCCGCAACGGAGACCAGGAGTGTAAGAATGTTCCAGAAGTGGTCGAGGGATGATGGCGGGGAGGATCCCGGGCCCAAGAGGGAAAGGAGGAGGAGGGCTGGGAGGCACTGCTGGCCAATAGGCTGAGAAGGCACTCCAGGCACTGGCGCCCTGGTGGTGTCCAGGGGCTGGCCGCAGCAGCACTGGCGTCAGGCCCTGTGCTCGGACGCTACCTGGGTGACCTCACCTCAGCCCCGTTCTGTGACTCAGAGAGCCACCTTGCCCACGTGGCACCACAGCTTTCCTCCCTTCCTGCAGCAGTGCCTCTGCGCAGGCCAGGCTCCAGGGAGGTGGCGTGACAACCTTCCAGGTCTGTCTGGCTGAGTGAACACCCTGCGCCCTCACTCACCCTCCTGCGTCTCAGGTTGTGGTCCAAGACAGGGAGCTGGGAGCACGGTCTCGGGGTGGGGCCATCCTGGGAGATGGCACGACTGGGGTGTGCCCCGGGGGGGGGTGATGAGGGCAGTGTGGAGGGATGGGTGGTGTGGGAGGGAGCCAGTCCTCCTCTGAGCTCGACCAGCCCCTCCCATCATGCTGCCTCTCCTGATAACAGGACTCGGAACCATCTCGGCTTATAGCTGGGGAAACTAGGTGCACACAGGTCGAGAGGCTTGTCGTGATTAGTAATAGCCACTTTTGAACCCCGGGGTTGAATGGGGCCCTGTGAGACTGTTTCAGGCAGAGTCTGGAGATCCATGCTGCCCCAGGAGGCCCACAGCTTCAGGTAGAAACCGTGGAATGCAATCCTCCCCAGGCCCAGGTCTCACACCCGTCTGGGGCAGGACCAGGTTAACCCCCCGGGGCTCTGCACTCTTGTCTAGGTCACTCCTTGGCCTGGGGGCGGGGGGTGCTTCCCAGATGGCAGGAGAGGTGACATTTTGAGGGGCATCTGGAATCAGAACGGATCTCAGCATTGTCACCTCTGAGTCTGGCTGAGGGCAGGCCCAGCGCCCCATAGAGGCAGGAGCAAAGAAGAATTCCGACGGAAGCTCTGAGCGTCCTGGAGGAGCTCACAGTCAGGAAGGGGTTGGCAGGAGAAACTGAAGTGACACGTGTCTGGGGAGGGGCCAGCCCCATTTCTTTACAGAACGGAGGAGAAGGCAGCTCCTGGCTGTGGACCGGGTGCCAGATGTGAGGAGTGCAGGGACCCTGTTGGGAGGGGCTCACAAGATGGAGACGGATGTAGTGGGAGGGAAATGGAGGGAAACGGAGTCAGATAGGAGCAAGGGAGTGATGGGGAGTGGTGGAGAACCGGGAAAGGGACCAGAGCAGGGGAGGGAGGGGTGGGGTCCACGCTGGGTGGTACAATAAAGACCCCTCAGGACTTGGGATGGACTGGGTGGGAAGCCCGGGAGGAGGCTGAGGAGGTGGTCCAGGAGGGGAAGAAGATCCTGAGGGAGGAGGTAGAGGGAAGACTTAGGTGATAAGTAGGTGTGGGGTTGACAGCAGGAGCGTTCTGGAGCCATCCCGGTGGGCAAGTATTGGGACCTGGGAGAGCCAAAGGGGACCCTGGGCTGGCGGCTGCTGCCTGCTGGATGTTGGGGAGGGTCGGGAGGGGCTCGGCTTGCTCTTACCCTGGAGATCTGACCGTCCTCCCTCCATACCAGCCCTGATGGAACACAGTCCTCCCCCGCCCCTCCCGCATCATCAGAACCAGTAGCGTCAGCTGCAGGGCACAGACGCAGGAAGGCCCTCCCCGTGCCCCCACGCATCACTGGCCAGACGTTAAGAAGAAACATCAGCAACAACATAGCTTTATTTGCGGCTTAGAGACTGGGGGGTGGGTAGCCGGAGCCGGGTCTCCGGGAGACGAGAGGATAGGGAGGTCCATGGGGCTGATCCCTCGGAGGAGCCGCGCTCAACCTGTCAGATTTTGCCTGCGAAGGTCCCTGCCCTGATCTGCTCGGTCCAGCGCTGCACCTGGGGAGGAGGAGGGAGAGAGCGAGGGAGCAGGGGTCCGCTCGCCTCAGCCGGGCTCTCCACCCTCGCCCGGCCCGTCCGGCCGGCGCCCCCTCTGCCCACTCACCCAGCTCATGGGGCACAGCGAGTGGAACACGCGGAAGAAATACTCGCAGGGCTGCGTGCTCTGGCCGCGGCGGTCCATGTTCTTGACGCAGCGGTGGTAATCTGCCGGGCGGGTGGACGGGGTCGCGCCGCAAACCCCGCCCCTCCAAACAAGGCCCCACCCCGCGTGGTCGGTCCCACCCCCTCCCAACGTGGCCCCGCTGCTCCGGGCCAGGCCCCGCCCCTCCATGGCCGGTCCCACCCGCTCCAGACCAGGCCCCGCCGCTCCCGGCCAGGCCCCGCCCCTCCATGGTCGGCCCCACCCCCTCCAGATCAGGCCCCACCCCTCCAGGCCAGGCCCCGCCCCCATGGTCGGTCCCACCCGCTCCAGACCAGACCCCGCCCCTCCATGGTCGGGCCCACTCCATCCAGACCAGGCCCCGCCCCTCCATGGTCGGTCCCACCCCCTCCAGATCAGGCCCCACCCCTCAAGGCCCCGCCCCCCATGGTCGGTCCCACCCGCTCCAGGCCAGGCCCTGCCCCTCCATGGTCGGTCCCACACGCTCCAGACCAGACCCCGCCCCTCCATGGCCGGGCCCACTCCATCCAGACCAGGCCCCGCCCCTCCATGGTCGGTCCCACTCCATCCAGACCAGGCCCC